GTTTGGAGACTTTTTGATAAAGGCCATTCTCACTGGAGTTAAGTGATATCTCATTGTGGTTTTCATTTGCATTTCCCTGATGATTAGAGATGTTGAGCATTTTTTCATATGTTTGTTGGCCATCCTCTGTCTTCTTTAGAAAAGTTTCTGTTCAAATCCTTTGCCCACTTTTTAATAGGGTTATTTGATTTTTTCTTGCTGATTTTCGTGAGTTCTAAGTATATTCTAGTTATCAGCCCCTTATCGGATGCGTAGGATGCAAAAATTTTCTCCCATTCTGTAGGTTGTCTGTTTACTTTCATGACTATTTCTTTGGCTGTGCAGAAGCTTTTTAGTTTGATCATGTCCCATTTATTTATTTTTGTTGCTGCTGTGATTGCCTTTGGGGACTTCTTCATAACCTTTTTTATTATTAAGGGGCTTTTTGTGTACTTTAATTATCTACAATCAGTTAATTGAACCAATTACCATTTTCGCTTACCTACATGGATCTATACAAGACAGAAAACCAAATATAGAAACTATTTTTCAGCTTGCAGTTTTCCAGAGAATTGAAATATAATCATTTTTAGGATTATAAGAGATTAATATCCCTTACTGACTGAATATATTAATATACAATATCAGATTTTCTTCCAGCAATAGAGGAATGACCTATTCTGTAATTTCCTGCCAATCCTGCTAGAATTTGGAGGGATATTAACACTGTCTCACAAAAATAAGTATTTCATTTTTGTTTTTAATAAAAAAATTACATAATTTAATTAAAAATATACCAAATAATGTAGGCAAATTCATTTAGTTATCCATTTAGCAGAATTTAGTTATCTATTTCAAAGAACACTATCAGCCTAAATATATATTGAATATTTTAGAAATTTCACAACTTCAATTACTTATCTTCTGAAACTTAATATTACTATAAGGATTTTGGCTTAGGCCTTTCTTGCTATGTGAGTCAGCTGGTGCTGCTATAACAAAATACCACAAACTGGGTAGCTTAAACAACAAAAATTGACTTCTGATAGTTCTGAAGACTATGAAGTCCAAGATCAAGGTTGCTAGCAAGGTAGGTTTCATTCTGAGGACTCTTCTCTTGGCTAACCTTAATTACCTCCATAAAAGCCCTACATCTACATACAGTTGGCTTGGGGCTTCAACATATGAACTTTATGGGGACACCAACTTTCAGTCTACAGTGTTGCCATTATAGCATTTTATTACTTGGCATTTGAGAAAGTAAGATTTTTTAAACCTACTATATATTTTCTTAAGAGAGTTTTTTCCCTCTAATACAATATTCTCTTATATATAATCTAGTTGCTAAAACAAATATTCCTTTATTTGCGTACGCTTTTGCTTCCTCATAAAGTAAATTTCTCTCTATACCCAGTGCGATGAGTAACTGGGAGCCTTGACTTTAAAAAAAAAACATTTATGACTTTAATTTTTAAAACAGTTTTAAAATTTAAAAAAAGCAGTTTTAAATTTACACAGAAATTGCACAAAAAGTAGAGAGTTTCCATAGTTCCCTCTTCCTGCTGCACACAGTTTCATCTATTATTAATATTTTACATTAGTTCAGTACCTTTGTTACCATTGACGAACCAGTATTAAGAGGTTATTAATCAAAGTCCATAGTTAACATTATTGTCCACTCTGTGTTGTACAGTTGCATGGGTTTTGACTGATGTATAATGACGTGTATCCATCATTACAATATCATACAGGATAGTTTAACTTCCCTAAAAGTGCCCTGTGCTTCCTCTATTCATCCTTACACACGCTCCCTGAACCCTCTGACAACTTACTGATATTTTTGCTGTCTCTATAGTTTTAGCTTTTCCAGAATGTCATGGAGTTGGAATCATATAATATATAACTTTTTAAGACAGTCTACTCTCTCTTAAGATGCATTTAAGGTTTTTCCATGTCTTTTTGTGGTTGAGAGCTCATTTCTCTTTCCAGTAGTCCTTCCTTATTTGTGGGGGATATGTTCCAAGACTCCCAGTGGATGATGCCTGAAACCTCAGATAGTACCAAACCCTAAGTACACTGTGTTTTTTTCCTATACATACATACTTTTGATAAAGTTTAATTTATAAATTAGACACAGTAAGAGATAAACAACAATTAATAATAAAATTGAACAATTATAACAATATGTTTGCATCACTACTCTTGTGCTTTGGGGACATTATTAAGTAAAATAAGAGTTACTCGAAGACAAGCAGAGCAACATGTGACAGTTGATCTGATAACAGATGGCTACTAAGTGACGAACAGGCAGGTAGTATAGACAGTCTGGATATGGTAGACAAAGGGGTGATTCGTGTCCTTGGCAGGATAGGGAGGGAAAAACAGGACAGTTCAAGATTTCATTATGCTAGTCTGAATGAAACTCAATATAAAACTTATGAATTGTTTATTTCTGGAATTTTCCACTTAATATTTTTGATCTTTGTTGACTGCAGTAACTGAATATGAGGAAATCAAAATCACAGATAAGGGGGGACTACTATATTGCTGAATAATAATACTCCATTGTATGGATGTACCATAGTTTGTTTATTGGCTCATCTGTTGAAGGACATCATGGTTGCTTCTCATTTTTCACAATTATGAAGAAAACTGCTATCAATATTTATGTGCAGGTTTTTGTGTGGACATAGGTTTTTAACTCATTTGGGTAAATATCTCATGAATGATTAGGTATTTAGATAAGAATCTAGACAGAAACCTTATGCGTTTCATAAAGATTAACTCAAAATAGATCACAGACCTAATGTAAAACACAAAACTGGACAACTTCTAGAAGATAAGAGAAAATTTAGGTGGCCTTGGGTTTGGCCAGGGGTGAAATGCTATGGACTGAATGTCTGTGTCCCCTCCAAAACTCATATGTTGAAACCCTAATCCTCAATGTGATGATATTTGAAGGTGGCGCCTTTGGGAAGTAATTAGGTCATGGAGGTAGAACATTCATGAATGGGATTAGTGCCCATATAAGAAGAGACGTAAGAGAGATGATCTCTCTCTCTGCCATGTAAGGATACAGCGAGAGGGCATCTGTCTGCAAACAAGGCCCTCACCAGAAATCAATTGGGCCATCACCTTGATCTTGAACTCCCCAGCCTCTGGAACTGTGAGAAATAAATTTTTGTTGTTTAAGATACCAGTCTTTTGTTATAGCAGCCTGAACTGACTGGGATAATTTATATCCAAAATATACGAAGAAGTCTCAAAACTCAATGATAAAAAACAACCCAATTACAAAATGGGAAAACATCTGAACAGACACCTCACCAAAGAAAATAGAGAGTTGGCAAATAATCATATCAAAAGATGTTTCTGTGTAGCAACCTGTTTGCAGAACCACTATCCAGAATAGCACCTTTTCTGAATTCTTACAATTCCCTGTGCAGACCCAGCCTCAGTCCTACTTTTTCACTTCCTTTGAGGCCATTTCTCAGTCCCCTTGGAACTTCCAACTCCTTGAAGTTTTCTGTCTCCCAGTTTATTAGGCTTCTCCCTCTTCATGCTGGATTCAGTGGTTAGCCATTCCAGCTCAAGTCTTGCCTTTGATACCCTGATTTTCTATCACACCCTCTTTACTAATCTCCAACCCCATGTGAAAACAGCATTAAGTAAAAGCAGAAAGATCTGAGACCACCTGTCTATTCAGGTATCAGGGAGCACACACTGGCTTGTAGTGTGGGAGGCAGAGTGTATTTAAAAGTATGCCTGGAGAAATAGGCAGAGGTCAGATAGTTTTTGGGGTATTAAAATATGAAAATATTTAGAAATTTTATTAAAAATATCTATGAATATATATTAGAATATTTAAAGTATTGAAAAGTTTATCCTATAGGCAACAGAAAACAATGAGTTTAAAACAAGGAAATAATATAGTCAGATGTGCTTTTTTTACAAGGCATCAGCATTCAGGATCAATAAGAGGTGGGACAAGATTGGAGTTAGGAAAAAAAATGGTAAGAAAATGTTCTAATAGTCCTGGTAAGATATGATAAGGATCCAAACTAAGACAAAACCAGTAGGGTTACTGAAGAGGGCATGGTTTCAAGAGGTGTTTAGGAGTTAGGACTTGGTGATAAATTCACTGAGCTTTGAGGTGATTGGATAAGTGGTACATTTCCTGAGGTAGATGACAGTTGGTACTCGTAGGACAAAGGAAAGAATGAATTCCATAGGTATGTTGAGTTTGACATGCCTGTGGATATATGTGCGGGTGAATATGTCTAGTAGATGGATGGATATGTAGGTTCACACTCCAAGAGAAAGGACTGGCATCAACATGCAGGTCTCAGAGCCTGTAGAATATATGTTGTGGTTGAAATCATGAGGTCAAGGTTAGAGTCCTGGGGATCCCCAACCTTGAATGGGGAAGAAGAAGAATCAGTAAAGGAAGTAATATGGATTAAACCAAGGAAAAGGAGGAGGAAGAACAAGAGAAAATAATATCATGGAGAAGAAGGTTGTCACTGGTATCAAGTGCCACAGACAAAAACAGTAGAACTGAAAAACCTCCATGGGATTTGGCATTACTAGGGACCTTGGCAAAGTTTGTTTTATGAGAAGATAGTGACTTTTTCACACACTTAACTATGAAGGGAAAGGAATTGGTGAGTTAATGGAGTTAGTTAAGGGTAGGGAGAGGGTAAAACAAATTTTTTTCTAACAAGAAGAATATAGTTAAAGTATGGGGGATAGATACAGAGAGATTACAAAGACAGTAAATTAATGATTATTGCAAAATATATAACCAAATCATTAGTATTTTGAATGTTTGTGATAGACCTGTGGTATACTTAATTAGGAAATATGCCAAAAACAGTGCCAAGCCCCAAGCTTTACAAATCATAAACACTCAAAAATGATTTGCTGGATTGAAGTAAATTGAGTTTCTATTAATGTGTAAATCATCTTCTGTGTCTTAGAATAATTTAGAGTTTAATTTGTGCATTTCTTTCCTAATGAAGGTCATCGAACACTCTTTATTGGAGTTCATGTGCCCCTGGGAGGAAGAAAAAGCCATCGACGTCACAGGCATCGTGGGCACAAACACCGGAAGAGAGACAGAGAGAGAGATTCGGGGTTAGAAGATGGAAGGGAGTCACCTTCTTTTGGTAAGAATGTTTTTCCTCGTTTTTATGAAATTTATGATTATAATATACGTGCTTTTACAATTGATAATTAGCAGTAATACCTCAAACTCATAAAATTATTTATGCTTTTGTGAAAGATTGAGAGAAGTAGGAGAGAGAAAGCTTGATCTTTGATTTTTCTCTTATGCATTGGCTTTGTGAAGGTGAGAATTGATTTAAATTTATGATGTAGGTAGTACAACTAATTAGTAAAGCTTAGTTGTATAAACTCTTGATAATTTGTACAAATAATAGTCATTGCTGTGTGTAGTTTGAAAATCCAGGGGAATTTGTCTTTATTCAGTTCCCATTTACACTATTGCTGATGCTGCCCAAATTTCATGCTTAGGAGATGAATGTTTTATTATTAATATTTTGAATGTTCTTCCTTTGAAAGTATATTCAGAATACCACCATATGTGTTTTTGTAGTTGTTTACAATTTTGGGGTGCCATGAGAGCCCGTGTACGTCACATAACCCGGAAGCTAGCTTTCAGCTCCTCGACCCTCCTACCTCCTGTGACCTTTGCTGTCACTGCGCTGAGCTCACCTACTCCTCTGTAATTATGCCGCCTCTGAAGTCACTCACTGACCTTGCTCCTGACCCCAGCTACTCTCCTTCTTACTTGCTTGTGCAATTACTTTATCCCTCTATTTTTTTTCATCCATAAGTTGTCTTTATTTCCTTATCTTACTATGATTTCATAGCATGTGATTTTAGTAATACTTTAATATCACTAGAATTCTACTAGTGTTACTAGTAATCTATTTAGCAATACTAGTATCTAAATATCTTTGGTCCCCTGTTTTAATTTTATTCATACATTTACCCCCTCTTTTAAAATCATACATTTGTTGGGGTTCCTGTTTTCCTTTTTTCTCCCTTTCTCCCCAAGTAAACACACATTGTGCTGGAAATAGTCATTCAACAGGACGGATTGTAGGATTGTAACCATTATAAATTTACGACTCAAACAGACCTTCAACACCTCCCAGTTCTACTGCATTCCTCTGACTTTTGAAAGGATTTACTTTTCACACTTTTTCACCATTTTCCAACATCCTCTTTTTTTTTTTTTTTTTACCATCACTTACTAGATAATATTGCTTACTATTTCAATGGAAAAACATATCATTGGAAAGAACTCACTTAAGTTTCCTTCTATTAAACAGATAGACCTATGTAAATACATCTGCAACCATCCTCTCTTTTCTCTTAATCTAGTAAGGGGGGGTTCTTTTCCATTATGCTTAGTTCCTATTCCCTCTCACCACTTCTGGAAACTGATACCGTTTCTAGTCTAATTGACCTTTTCCTCTTCAATTGGATTGTTCTTATCACCTTTTAAACATAATAGAGTCTCTCCCAATTTAAACAGTTCCCCAACCTCCTTCCAACACACATTTAGTCATTCAGATATGAAGTAAGTTAACTACATATAAAAGTTTGGGTAACAATTTTACTTTTAAAACTGTATAGATACTGCTTTATTCAATATCTGGCTTCACTTAGTGTGGCAGAGACATCTGTAGTCTACATATTTTTCATTTGCTATATTTATTTCTTTTAAGCCTGAATGTTTATAGGCATTTTCCTGTGTATTTTGATGAAGAAATTTGCTAAAATAGATCTAACGGTAGATATATTAAAAAGCCTTCCTAGCCTGCATACACTGATATTTTTCCACTTGGAGAATATTTTCTTACTATATCTGATTCTGTTCCATTTTCTCTGATCTCTTTGTGATATTAATTATCTGCATGTTGGATTTCAGATGTTTGCTCTTTGTCATTTTCCTTTGTAGTTTAATATTAGTCTCTTATGTTACCCTTTGATTATCTGCAATATAAATTCTGCATTTTACTACTTCTGTGATGGGTTTTGATTTTGCTGTTGGATTAGTTTTCTTGAATTTCTTTCTTATTTTAACCTATTTTATTGACATTTCCTCCTGCCCTTTCCAAATTAGTTTTTGTTTTTCTGCTTGATAGAGTCTATCCCCCAGCTGTCCTCCTCTGGACATTTTCTTTTTATCCTGAAGTTGATAATTTTCAGAGCTATGATCTTCCTTTGGGCTGTCAAGAAAAGTTTTACTCTCCATTGATTTTTAGTATTTTTACAGACTTCCAATTTTTTTCCTTTTACTCATTTTTAAACAAGGCAAGGTATCCATCCAGTATCTACCTAGCTGTATCCTAAGGTAGGTTAGCCAGGCTGCTGCCAGTATGTTCCTTGTCTTCATTACTATGTATACTTATAGGCGTTAAACTTCTCCAAATACCATGCACTTCTGCCAGGGGTAGAATAGTTGTTGGTGGGGGAGTGCATAAATAAAAGTCCTCTGGGTATCCTGTACTAGCATGATAGAGAGATGGTTATGTCTGAGTCAGTGAATAGAGAGCAGAGGATGTGCTAAATGTTTCCCATATTTTCAGGTATTTTCTGTTTCATGAGGTGGAGTCTTGGACTGTAATAAAGAGTTGATTGCATATATTTTTTTTTCACTCAAGCTCCATCTTCTTATAGTTAGTAGAAACTCCCACTTATACTCTAGGAATGGATTATCTGTTGGACTAAGCTTTGATAGTGAGTTTTCACCTTGTAGTATTTGAAAAGACGCGTTTACATCATCTTAGAAATGTTTCATAAACAAATAAAAGTAAACTGTGTTTATCATCATTTGCTTGTTCCCTCTGCCTCTTTTTCTGTTTTCCGCCATAGCTCGATGCATTATGTCCGTTTTTCTATAACAGTGGTTCTCAATATTGCCTGCACTTGAGAGTTCTAAAAATATACTGATGCCCAAGCCCCACACCATTCAGAATTTCTGTGCCTGAGGACCAAGCATGGGTACTTTTACAAAAGTACCACAGGTAATTCTACTGTGCAGCCAAAGTTGAGATCTACACTTCTGGAAACCTTTCTATTCAAAATATGGTCCGTGGGCCAGCAATATTGGCATCACGTTTGAGCTTGTTAGAAATGTAGAATCTCAGGCCCCACCCCAGATCTCTTGAATCAGAACCTGTATATTAACAATATCCTTAAGTAATGTATGCATGTTAAAAATTTGACAAGTGATACTCTAGAACATTGCTTGTCAAAACTTTTTGCACATTGGAGTCAACTGAGGAAATTTAAATAAACATTGATGCTGGGCCCCATCCTCAAAGACTTTTATTTAATCAATCTTGGGTGTTTCCCTAAGCACTGGTATTTTTAAAAAGTACTCCAAGTGATTTAATGTCTACCTAGGATCAAGAATCATTGACCCTAAGAAGCTTCTGTCTCTCTATTTGGTGAAACTTGGAAATAAGTCAGGTGGCCCAGATTCTCCCTCTGATGTGTCAGCTGCTAATTTTGGATGCCACCTACCTCCTTCCTCCCCCAACCATCTGAGTATCTTTATTGACATTTAGACCTAAGATCTGTTTTATCAGGGACAAATGTTTGGCACCCTCATGCTTTCTAAGTGGTGGAACTTCCTGTATTTCACTTTTTTCAGTTTCTCGAGGACTGCTTGTGTGCCTTTATCCCTATTTCACAGTCAGTTCAATTGCCTTGATAGTCAAGTACTCAGTCACATGCTGAGACTTAAACCATGTCCTAAACATCATCCCACTTAATTTGAGCTTTGATATTCTGTGTGGTGAGACTATATGAGATTTATATACTGAAGGCATCAAAGGAAATTTCTGTCTACTTAAGAAATTTATTTTGCTTGGAAGGTTTCAAAAAATATTTTGAAGTCATTCTTACAGGTGCCTCAAAATTCTTCAGATTCAACTTCCAAAGAAATATTAGGTAGGGGAAAATTCAAAGACACCAAGGACAATCACAGAAGCAATAAAAGTAAATAAATGGGACCCAATTAAATTAAAAAAAACTTCTGCAGAGCCAGCAAACAATCAACAGAGCATATAGACAACCTACAGAATGGGACAAAATATTCACATGCTATACATCTGATAAAGGGCTAATAATCAGAATCAACAAAGAACTCAAGCAAATGAAGAAAAAAAATCAAACAACCCCATTAAAAAGTGGGCAAGAGACATGAACACATGCTTTTCAAAAGAAGATAGATTAATGGCCAATAAACATAGGAAAAAATGCTCAATGTCACTAATCATCAGAGAAATGCAAATTAAAACCACAGTGAAATATCACCTAACTCCAGTCAGAATGGCTTTTATCAAAAAGGCCCCAAACAATAGATGCTAGCATGGATGCAGAGAGAAAGGAACACGTATACACTGCTGGTGGGATTGCAAACTGGTGCAACCTCTATGGAATATAGTATTGAGATTAATCTTTGAGATTCCTCAAAGAACTAAAAGTAGACTTACCATTTGATCCAGTAATCCTGCTATTGGGTATTTACTCAAAGGAAAAAAAGTCATTTTATCAAAAGACACTTGCACTCAAATATTTATTGCAGCACAATTCACAATCACAAAGATGTGAAATCAATCCAAGTGCCCATCAATTCATGTGTGAATTAATAAAATGTTGCATATGTATACCATAGAGTACTACTCAGCCATAAAAAATGAATTAATACCTTTGCAACAATGTGGATGGAACTGGAGACCCTCCTCCTAAGTGAAATATCACAAGAATGGGAAAACAAACACCACGTGTATTCACTATTAAATTGGAACTAACTGATCAGCACTCATGTGCACAGATGGAAGTAAAAATGAACAGAAATCATACAGGTGAGAGGAGGGAGGAGAGAGTGGGTGAAATCATATCTAATCAGTACAGTGTACACTATCTGGGTGATGGACACACTTATAACTTTGACTCAAGCAGTATAAAAGCAGTCCACGTAATCAAAACATTTGTACCCCTGTAATATTCTGAAGTAAAAAAACAAAAGAGAGAGAGAGAGAGCACCAGGTCAATGTACTGGGAAGCTGGAGATTTTATGTTGTAAATTGCAGTATGGGCCTGTGAAATCATAGAATAATTCTGG